CAGAAATACTGAAAAAGTAAATTAAATTAAGGGCTCTGATGGGCTGTATTGGCGACATCCCAAACAAATCTCTGACCTACGGATTTTAGATGGCCTAAGATGAAATATGAGGTTGAAGAGGGCTAAATTTTCACTTCTCAATAATACCTTTAACAGACCTGAAGAGGGTGTGGCCTAAATACCCCTAAATAGAAATGGAATGGCGGTTCCGATTCCTGTAGTTGACAGTTGAAAATATTATACATTCAATCTCACATATTAAAACAACAGTCAATAAATTATAGTATGTTAAAATGTTGGTAAATATATTTTGTTCTGTTGAAAAAAAGACAGCATGAACATTTTTGTTGTTGATATTATTGCAAAAAATATGTCAGTCAGTTTTCTTACGATTATGGTGAATTGTTGTAGGTGTACATTGTCCAGCTTGCAAAGGGGAGGGGGACATATATGACACTTCCCTTTAACATACATTGTACCGGTACATGTAATTACTGATGTCCAAAATTATGCCCAAAAAAAATCAAAAATAGCCGATAGATTTTGATAAGAGTACATAATTATGATCGCAGCAGACCATGAAGGTGTAAAGTCTAATCTTACATTTACAAAAGATTGCTCATGCAGTATGCACCCATTAAGAAATATATAGGCTCTACAAGATTGTAATAGGTATCTTCTGTCCGATGAGGCTGTATAATCCTGCTCCAACCTGACATGTTTTTCAGTAAGGAAGTCTCCGCCCGAGTAGCCGTACAGAATGACCTGTGCGAAAGAATCTGAGAAATGTTTCACTTCTACTCCAGGGGTGTGATGAAACTTTTTACTGTGTAATATACATCCAAAATGAAATTACTGAGGCGGCTGGGCACTTTGCGGTTGTCCCGTCGAAGAGGTTCTGGAGTCGGTGGCCATGGCAGGACTGCAGCTTGAGTAATTACGTCATCCATATCTGCTTGAAGAACTTCTCGTACGCGGTCAAAATGTTGTCATTGTTTTTCACGAAAGCTTTAACATCTATGTTTGTTACAGACGACAAACTAAGCACCATTTGAACTGAATGGTATTCTACTGTCACATACAATAATACAAACCCATACATCGACGTAAGCAGGCGCAAGGACACTGATCTTCCATTGCCAAGAACATTTTCTTGCACGAAGTCTCTGAGGATGTTCAGATTGTCTGTGTCCGACTGGTCTTCTTTGTCAATATCATCCCCAGGAGCTCTTCGATTGAGTGACTTTCCTCTTTCCTTCGTGTAATCACGAAAACATTTACGATGCATCTGGAACCCTCTCGCTACAAGGTCTTGGTCCCGGATTTTCGTGAGCATCTCTTCGTCGACGGATGCCACTGCCGCTTCCCAAATAGAGTTGCATGCATCCTTCGTAAAGAGTTGAGTAGGAAACTGCTTTTCAGCGCGATGTTTTATTGGTTTTTCTGACAAGCAGTTTGGACAGTGTTTTGCGTTAAACTTTCGCGTCGTTTCTTTCTATCGGATGGAGTATACGACCGCGACTTCCGTGTGACATTCGATTTCTTCTTAGCCATAGAGATAGCCATTGTGTACCTCTTGTAACATGATTGGTGGCATGTATAAATATCATTTTGGAATGTGGAAAGTATAGTCTCATTTTGGGAACGATGGACATTATCTCCTCCAAGCTGTAAACGGGCCTCTTTCGCTTCAAGTTGTACTTATGATCTGTCAGTGGTAATGAGTTTTAATCACTAGGTCCAGTTCCCTTGTAATGCACCACACAATTCGAAGCACTCATCACAGGAATATTTTGAAAGAATGAACAAGTCTATACCTCATAACTGTATGACAGAAGGGAAGTTACTGAACAGGGATCATTTACAGTGAAACCTCGTTAAGTTAGCAGGACCAAATACTTTGACTTAAACAGTAGGCCTACATTAAGATTGTTTATATTTTTCCCGCCTTTTTTAAATCTCTTAATTGGAGTTACCTCCCTTGAAAAATATTTGTAAGTCAGTGTTTTCAATTAAGTTATAAACAGAGCCATAGGCTCTGGTATGATGCGCCACTAGATATTGCTTATGACATGATTATTGAGATGCATCTTTCCATTTTGACCTTTGACCTCGATTACCTAAACAAATTGGGACTTATAGATACTGCCGATTCAAACTAATGGGCTTTCACCGATTTCTAGATGATATCAATGAATTTGTACACATTTTATAGTTATATTCTCAATTTCAAACAGTTTTTGTGTTATTTGACCTTTCGTGACCTTTGACCTTGATTAACTTAAAAAAAAGTCTTTTCTAGCCTCTTTTACTTCGATTTAAACATTAACCCAGTGGAGGTCGTCACAATCATTTGGTTGACCTAAAGATCATTCTCAGGTAGAACGAAATGGATATTCTTAAAGGTGGCTTGGAAACGTCTTCTACATTGTGTTAATAATTTTGGCAACTTTGGTAAACAACTCTGAAATTCAGGTCACATGATGCAGAGGAGGGTATTGTTGGTTTACTAATGCTGTTGATTGACAGTCAGACCTCGGCAGTGAATTTATCCAGGATATCTGCGGAAAGAGTTCGAAATATAGCCCAAAACACTATATCATAGATAGATAGATATTTATTGTATTGTTCGTCCATTTTTTTTGGACAGCATACAGCATGATACAAGATACAAAATAATACATGGCAACAAATATATCGCACTTTTTGACATCAATTAATATATACTTTAAATTAACAAAATGAAGCTATCGAGTTCATTTTTTAGAAGTAAACTGACCATGACGGTTATACCACGCCCAACTAAAAGAAGTCGTTATGTAACTTTTAGAACAATTTTGGATAATGTCTCGAAAGTCGGTCGACCTTGCTTTGAATGGAAAACATAACCGTATATTATTTTCAGATTAAAAAATTGGTCATTTATGTATACAAATTCATCGCATTCAATACCCTTTTTTTGAAAAGGTTTGACAGCACGGGATACGCATCGAATCACGTTCATTATATACTCGGGAAAAACATTTTTCTGAATGCCTTGAACTAATAATCATTATAAAAGAACATATTTAAATTGAAGAAACTTCAATCTAGCTAGCAGGCTGAGACACGAATGCAATGAGCCTTCATTCTTTTTTATGTCGGAGAAAATAGCCTAACTTATCTGAATAGAACGACGTAACTAAATCGTATGCTAGACTACAAAGCGTCCTATTACCCCCAAAATTTTCAAATTTACCCCCCCTGGGTGATAATAACTCCCAGGTTCAAAGCCCGTGCCATAGTAGATTAGATTTTTAAAGAAAAATAACAAAGGGAAGCACCGAATGCATGACAGTCGTCATTTTAACAGTCAAACGCAAATAACTCTGGACGCACGTGGGTTTGAAGGTTGTAAACACTATTACCGATTAGCTTAGCTATAAATATTCCTGTTTCTGAGACTAAAATATTATTGGTTAACAAAAAAAATGGCGCACCAGCCCCTGTAGACTGCAAAATACAAATATTGACAGGACTGAAAACTACTGAGAAATGCTTGTTTATTTTCAATGCATGTCACGTTTACGTAAACAAAACCCTGCTCCAGCCCTAACCCACACTCGAAATTAATGTTCATAGCTGCAAAGAACTTATATAGCACAGTGGCAGTTTTAAACATTTAGAATTGGAAATTTGCTAATGTACGGAAGCGTAATAGTGCCTGCCACACATATTTTTTTTTTCAAATCCGACTTAGTAACTCGGAAATAAAACTTATTAACTCGAAAATGGGTCACAAATATTTTTTTTTTCAAATCCGACTTAGTAACTCGGAAATCCAACTAAGTAACTCGTAAATACGACTTACTAACCTTGAAAATCCGACTTACCAACTCGAAAATACGACTTAGTAACTCAAAAATCCGACTTACTAGCTCAAAAATCTGACTTACTAACTCGAAAATCAGTCTTAATAACTCGAACAATCAGTCTTAATAACTCGAACAATCATACTTAATAACTCGGAAATCCGACTTAGTAACTCATCTTTATGATTCACTCTCATCACCTTACTGATTCACTCTCATCACCTTACTGATTCACTCTCATCATCTCACTAATTCACTCTCATCATCTTACTAATTTACTCTCATCATCTTACTGATTCACTCTCCTCATCTTACTGATTCACTCTCCTCATCTTCCTGATTCACTCTCCTCATCATCCTGATTTATTCTCCTCATCTTCCTGATTCACTGTTCTCATCATCCTGAGCCACTCTCATCCTCCTGATCACTCTCCTCATCATCCTGATTCACTCTCATCATCTTACTGATTCACTCTCCTCATCTTCCCAATTCACCCTCCTCATCTTCCCGATTCACTCTCCTCATCATCCTGATTCACTCTCATCATCTTACTAATTCACTCTCATCATCTTACTAATTCACTCTACTCATCTTACTGATTCCCTCTCCTCATCATCTTACTGATTCACTCTCCTCATCTTCCCGATTCACTCTCCTCATCATCCTGATTCACTCTCATCATCTTACTAATTCACTCTCCTCATCTTACTGATTCACTATCCTCATCTTCCTGATTCCCTCTACTCTTCATCCTGATTTATTCTCCTCATCATCCTGATTCCCTCTCCTTATCATCCTGATATATTCTCCTAATCTTCCTTATTCACTCTCCTCACCCTCCTGATTCACTTTCATCATACTCCTGATTAACCCTCCTCATCTTCCTAATTCACCCTCCTCATCTCCCTGATTAACACTTCGCGGAATATTATGACGCCAAGTCGACATATTTTTAAGTCGATATGATACGATATATTGGTGTATATTATTAGTAGATGGTGTATATTGGTTTATATTAATGGTAGATTGGTGTATATTATTAGTAGATAGTGTATATTGGTGTATATTAATTGTAGATGGTGTATATTGGTATATATTGATGGTAGATGGTGTAGATTGGTGTATATTAAAGGTAGTGGTGTAGATTGGTGTATATTATTAGTAGATGGTGTATATTGGTTTATATTAATGGCAGATGGTGTATATTGGTTTATATTAATAGTAGATGGTGTAGATTGGTGTATATTAAAGGTAGTGGTGTAGATTGGTGTATATTATTAGTAGATGGTGTATATTGGTTTATATTAAAGGTAGATGGTGTATATTGGTTTATTTTAATTTTAAATGGTGTATATTGGTGTATATTAATGGTAGATGGTGTATATTGGTGTATATTAATAATAGATGTTGTAGAGTGGTGTTTATTAATAGAAGATGATGTTGAGTGGTGTATATTAATATGACTTTACAAAAAAAGAAGCCCAAAATACAGAAAAAACTATTTTAATACATAAACTAGTAAATAAGTAGCAAATAGCTAGCACCATAAATGTAACTTCTAAGACCGGAAAAGGCATCATCATGTTCATTCCGAAAAAGAAGTAGTTGTTTAATAACACTGTTTTCTGTACCCTCGTCTGATCGGATTTTCGGATTTTCGAGTCAGTATGTCGGATTTTCGAGTTAGTAAGTCAGATTTTCGGATTTTCGAGTTAGTAAGTCGGATGTTCGAGTTACTAAGTCGGATTTTCGAGTTACTAAGTCGGATTTGAAAAGAAAAATATGTGTGGCCCATTTTCGTGTTACTAAGTCGGATTTTCGAGTTACTAAGTCGTGGCACTATTACGCTTCCGTACTAATGCGTGGGCGATTATAGAAAACCCTGAATAACCTTGACTAAAGATTATGGCATTCTAATTTATTCTAGAATAAAATCGACAACGCCCTTCAATTTTTTTTCTATATGAATTACAACAAGGTATGAATAGTTAGATTTATATCAATTTAAGTTAAGAAAAAAAGAAATGGATAAAGTCGTCTAAACAAAACAGCTACCAATTCAACTTTTGAAAGTTAAAATCAGATTATGGGTTCGTCTGTAATCTAATGAATCAACTCATTCAATAATATTGACATATTGAGTACATGTAATGAAAATATATTTTCATTGGAGAATATTGACCCAGACCCAAATCTGTTGTCGCTAAAGCATTTCGCAGAGCAGAGCTAGAGCAAAGAAGGCCTAAAGCAAAGAAGGCCTAAAGCAAAGAAAATAAAATAAAAGAAAATAAAAGAAAATAAAAGGGAAAGGCAAGGTAAGGTAAGGAAAGGAAAGGAAAGGAAAGAGGAAAAAGCAAAGCAAAGCAAAGCAAAGAAGAGAGTATAACAGCTTGTATTATTTAGATGGCCAAATCCCTTTATGTACCTTATAGCCAAACTGTTATTAACGTAACGCAGTGAATAAAAAAGAAATTCGGTCAGTTGTTTGTGTTAGTTATAATCTTCAGTTAATTCATGAAAGATTTTCTCATGAACCAACACACGTCCACAATACCACGCACGGAGGTTCTCATATACAATTTAAAAAAATCAAAAAATTAAAATTGAATAAAATATTGAAATACGTCACTTTCCAGATTAGAAGAAAAAACATAAAGGATGGAAAGAAATTGAATAAATAAACTCCCTAAACTGAAATCATCCAAGATAAATTTTTCAATCTTTTTCCAAAATATCTATTTAGAATGCCATTCGGATCAGAGAGTTAGTCTTTATGTCGAATATATAAACCTTTTGTCGAGTAGCAATTGAGTTATATAAACCATTTATCGAGTAGGAATTGAGTAATATAAACCATTTACCGAGTAACAATTAAGGTTATATAAACCATTTACCGAGTAACAATTAAGGTTATATAAACCATTTACCGAGTAGGAATTGAGTCTTATACGCCATTTATCGAGTAGGAATTGAGTTATATAAACCATTTATCGAGTAGGAATTGAGTTATATAAACCATTTGCCGAGTAAGAATCGAGTTATATAAACCATTTGTCGAGTAGCAATTGTACAGTTATATAAACTATTTGCAGAGTAGGGTTATATAAACTATCTAACGAGTAAGAGTTGAGTTAGTTGAGTTGAGTTAGAAGCCATATGCCAATAAAAAAATGAGCTATATAAAACATTTGCTGAGTTGCAATTGAGTTATATAAACCATTTGCTGAGTAGCAATTGAGTTAAATAAACCATTTGCTGAGTAGCAATTGAGTTACATAAACCATTTGCTGGGTAGAAATTGAGTTATATAAAACATTTGCTGAGTAGGAATTGAGTTCTATAAAACATTTGCTGTGTAGGAATTGAGTTATATAAAACATTTGCTGAGTAGGAATTGAGTTATATAAACCATCTAACGAGTAAGAGTTGAGTTAGTTGAGTTGGCTTAAAAACCATATGCCAATAAAAAAAAATGAGCTATATAAACCCATTTGCTGAAGAGGATTTGTACAGTTATGTGAACCCTTTGCTGAGTAGGAATTGTACAGTTATATAAACTACTCCCCGAGTAGAAATTGAGTTTTATAAACCACTTGCCGAGTATAAATTGAGTTATATAAACCACGTGCCGAGTAGGAATTGTGTTATATAAACCACCTGCTGAGTATAAATTGAGTTATATAAACTACTTGCCGAGTAGAAATTGAGTTATATCAACCACTTGCCGAGTAGAAAATGGGTTACATAATCCTCTTGTAGAGTAGAAATTGAGTTATATAAACTACTTGCCGAGTAGAAATTGAGTTATATCAACCACTTGCCGAGTAGAAAATGGGTTACATAATCCACTTGTAGAGTAGAAATTGAGTTATATAAACTACTTGCCGAGTAGAAATTGAGTTATATAAACGACTTGCCGAGTAGAAATTGAGTCATATAAACCACATACCGAGTAGAAATTTAGTTATATAAAGCACATACCAAGTAGAAATTGGGTTATATAAACTACTTGCCGAGTAGGAATTGTACAGTTATATAAACCACTTGCCGAGTAGCAATTGAGTTATATATAAACCACTTGCCGAGTAGAAATTGAGTTATATAAACCATTTGTCGAATAGGAATTGAGTAATATAAACCATTTACCGAGTATGAATTGAGTTATGTAAACTACTTTCCGAGTAGAAACTGAGTTATATAAACCACTTGCCGAGTAGCAATTGAATTATATAAACTACTTGATGAGTAGAAATTGAGTTATATAAACTACTTGCCAAGTAGAAATTGAGTTATGTAAACCTCTTGTCAAGTAGAAATTGAGTTATATAAACCATTTATCGAGTAAGAATTAAAGTTATATAAACCATTTGTCGAGAAAGAATTCGGTTATAAAAACGATTTGACGAGAATTGAGTTACATAAACCATTTGCCGAGTATTGAGTTACATTAACCGTATGAGTAAGATTGAGTTACATAAACTATTTGCAGAGTAGGAATTGAGTTAAAAAAAAACCATTCCCGAGTAGGAATTGCACAGTTATATAAACTATTTGCCGAATAGAAACTGAGTTATATAAACCATTTGCCGAGCAGGAATTGATTTATATAAACCATTTGCTTTTTCTGACTCTACTCCAGCTGATAACTGTCAAAATATCTTTCAGAGGCTGGAATAGATAAAACCAGAAAACCATGCAGCGTGCAGTGTGAAAAAAGTGAAAAAGTGAAATCCTGAATCAACCAAGAAGAGGTCCTGGATACTCTTTAACAATTCATTGTCCATCCAGACTTTCTTGAAAAATTTGAGAAATTAGTATGTGGTTGATATGTTTATTACGAATTTAATTTAAAACAAAATCTAGAAAGGCATTTCAAAACAACAAATAAACAATAACAAAACAACTTTCAACTGAAATCATAAACACACAAACCTTCTAAAATAATTTTTTTTTTATAAACAATATTTTATTAATACATTAAATGAATTGGGGAAATATTGTTTATTGAAAAAAAATAAAATCTAAAATAATCACATAATCATTACTAAAAAGGAACATATCTCTACAAATTGTCAATATGATAATTCTAAAACTCTTCATCTGGAATGCCTAAAATTAAAATCGCAGTCATTTTGAATCACAAACATAACAAAACTATATAATATTTGGTTTGGTTTCTCTATTAGTAAACATGTTTATGTTAATAATATCTATTTGTAAAACCATAAAAAAAAATCATTAAAAGATTATTATATACTAGAAATTTAATCCTAAATTTTTTAACTGTTGACAAGTTTGAATCTACATAACCTATGCAAATGGAATAGCTACAAACTGAAAAATTTTTTTTTTATGTTCAAATTGAATTATTCAAATGTTAATAACTTATGCACATTTAACTGAAAAGCTACAATCTTCTTGCAATAAAAGAGTATATTGAAATTGCATAAAGAAAGTGTAAAAGAATGTTCTTATTAACTTAAAAATGTTGAATTAAAATGCAAAATTTCTTTTTAAAAAGTCATTAAGTACTGAATTTGGGACATTACCAAATTGAATAGCAAAATCAACAAACATAACATCTTCACAATGTCAAGCTATTACAAACTGTGTCAAATAACTTGACTTCATAGGGCTCTTTTCTTGTATCACAGAACGTGATTTGAGTGGATTGTAGGCTAGACTAGCGGATATAGCTAATCAGAGCTCTTCACATAAAAACTGTAATCATTAGGGCTTATGGTAAACAACCTTTCTATTGGGCTCTGTTTTAGTCATATTTGCTAGTGTACAATCCAATAAAATCTCTGCAATTTTAAACTTTCATGATACAAAAAAGGTGGCTATTACAATTACAGGCAAGATATCAGACGAAGTTTGTAATAACTTGACATTGTGAAGATGCACATATAGTAACCTAGAACTTTGTGATATCATGTATTCAATCAAGAGTATTTAGTTGTCCTTGTGGACTAATGAATTAATTTTGCTTATAAAAAAGTAATCTGGCTTATAAAAGATTAATTTTGCTTATAAAAGTTTATCACTGTTCTTTAAGACAATTTCCAAATTTATAAAATCAATTGGATTCAATTTCTTGACTAAAGATTTTGGACAAGTTAATCCAACTTTAAAACATAAATATTAACAAATTATTATCATTAACAATTTTTTTCAAAATCAATCAAAATTCATACTATATTTTTATACATAATTTTGATTTTTTACATAACATAAAATTACATAACATAATAAACAAGAACTGACTTAGTTTTCATGTAGCCTTAGAGAAACTTAACTGATTTAGAATATTTGAAGCACACAATTAGTAAACAATAACAAATAATAACCAAGAATAATTAATTATATTTTACATCTGACTAGTTTCTGGAGTTTAAAGATGGGTTCCCTTTTTTTCATTTATGAAATTGAAAATGCTAAAACTGATATGAATAGAAAGTAGAGATGTTCTAATGACTTGAAAAAATACCAATTTGTCTCACATGTCCATAATTACTTCATAATTAGCTAAATTAGAAGAGAATTACCATCAGAATTCCAATGAGTGACCCATCAAGAAAGATCAAAGAGTTTTTATTTGTTATCCAGACAGTACATACATGGACATTTATGATTGGTTAAAACTCTTAATTACTTACAACAAGAATATAATGATATGATTAAGAATACATGATAATTCATGAAGACCAATTAATCAAATAGTTTGCTTAATTTGACACTAAAAAATAAGGAAACCCATCTTTAAGGAATCATTGAATTTGTCTTTCGAATGCAGTGTTTATATATTGTTCAGATCAAAATTTAATAACTACCTTTTGTGTGATGCAATTCAGAACATACAGAAAGATACTGCTACTTTTGCCAGAAGTTCAAGACCGTTGAAAGTTAAAGTTGCTAAACAAATACAATTTGTTTTGGCACAGTCTTTTAATCATATACACAATCAAAGACATTTGAAAGCGCTAGGGAAAGTATTTGATCTATGAGAATTTTTTCTGATAGATGCCTGAAAATCTCAAGCACCATAGGGTCAATCACTCTCTTATGCTTACTAAAAAAAAAAAGAAAAAAAAAAAAAAATTTAAAACATAGCACTACAGACATACTTTGGCTTACACCAATAAGAACAATAGAAACAATATAATTTACTATAAACATGTAGTAAGATAACATAAAATAAAACCTCATCTTTGTTTATCTAGCGAGGGTGGTTTGTAAACAGGGGCTGAGGACTTGGGTAAAGGTGCTTTATCCAGAATTCTATCAGCAATCTTTTCAGCAATCATAATTGTTGGTGAGTTCAGGTTACCACTAGCAATACTAGGCATAATTGATGCATCAACTACTCGTAAACCTTTCAAACCATGGACCCGACCTTGGTTATCTACAACTGCCATTCTATCCCATTCTCCACCCATTTTACAAGTGCATGATGGGTGGTAAGCACTGTCGGCCATGTTTCTTAGGAATTCGTCAATTTCTTTGTCAGACTTGACACCTTCACCAGGTGCTAATTCTGGTCCCCTGAATTCATCAAAAGCCTTCTGGGCAAAAATTTCTCTCGACAGATGGACACTGTTTCTCATGTCAACAATATCATCTGGATCTGAGAAATAATTGGCAACTATTTTGGGATGATCTTTTGGATTTCTAGATCTTAATTTTAGGTGACCACGGCTACCGGCTCTCAGGGTGCCAACATGAAGTTGGTAGGCATGACAAGGTCCGATTTTTCTGCCATGATCATTGACAGTGGATGGTAAGAAATGGTACTGAATATCAGGATGTGTGATTCCAGGTTTGCTGCGAATAAAGCCTCCAGATTCTAAATGACTAGTAGCACCATATCCTGTGTTCATGGTAAACCATTCCAATCCAATTCTGATCATATTATGTGGAAATTTCCATTGAGCAGAATACAAGGTGTTATTCTTCAAGGATTTCTGCTGAATATACACTTCCAAATGGTCTTGTAGATTTTCACCCACACCAGGAAGGTGCTGTTTGAGTGGTATATCCAGTGCCTTGAGTTCATCAGCATTACCTATACCAGACAGCTGGAGTAACTGGGGTGAATTAATGGAACCACCACTCAAAATAACTTCCTTCCTTGCCAAAATAGTTTTAGGTTGACCATTGTGTTCATATTCTAATCCAATGGCTCTGTCTCCATCAAAGATGATTTTGGTAGCTAAGGCATTGTTCTCAGTGGTAAGGTTGGGACGAAAAAGAACAGGTCTCAAATAGGCTGATGCAGTACTCCATCTCTTTCCCTTGTGTACTGTCATATCCATCCAACCAACACCCTCCTGCTGATAACCATTCATATCTGATGTGAAAGGGTAACCGGCCTGTTGACCAGCCTCAACAAAAGCATGATGTAATGGATGTTCAGTTTTACCTCGAGAAACATGTAGGGGACCATCTCCACCTCGATATTTGTCTGCTCCTAATTCATGAGCTTGTGCTTTTTTAAAGTAAGGGAGACAATCAGCATATGACCATCCTTCAGCTCCCTCAGTCTCCCATCTGTCATAATCATGGGCATGGCCTCTGATATACACCATGGCATTCAAAGAAGATGACCCACCCCAAACTCTACCCCTTGGCCAATACATGACTCTGTTGTTCATATGTTTTTCAGGCTCAGTATGATAAAACCAATTATAATCATCATCACACAGATTGTACATCAGTGCAGCTGGCATGTGGATGGTCCACGCATCATCCTTAGGGCCTGCCTCCAACAACGCTACATCATTCTTTTCATTCTCAGTCAGGCGGTTGGCCAAGACACAACCAGCAGACCCTGCTCCAAGAATGACATAGTCATATGTTGGATTAGAGGCAAATTCTTTATCAGATCTTAATTTTGATGGGATACTAGAAAAGGTTCTTTGATTAATCAACAATGGATTGTGACATCTAGAAAGAGTATGATATCCTTTCAAACCACAAGATTCAGTCACATTTGCAAATGGTCTGGAACTCTCCCTTGGCGAAATTTTGGTATCAGGATTAGTTTTAGGAAGACTTTTAGGCACTGCATCAGTTAGACAATATTTCAAAACCTGACTAACTTTTGGCACTACATGATCAGCATATTTTCCAAGATCAGCCTCAGATCCTAAACCGGTTAGAACACCAATTCTGGTTTTAATATTTGCCTTTTTTCCCATAGTTAAGTCAGCCAAAGTGTCCCCAACACTAACAGCATTACTAGGATCTATTTTGAGTTCTTTACAAATAAGTCCTGCATTGTGACCGGTCAATTTGGGTTGACTTAAAGGATCATCACCACATACCATCATATCGACATACTTCATTATTTTTAACGTCATCAAATCACGCACAGCTATGTCACGATTGGAGCCTGTACAAATAGCAATTTTGACGCCAGACTTTTTTAAAGTACGAAAGAGTGCCTTGACATCGGAGTCTACAGTTTGAGCAGCACTATCAAGAGTATCTTCACAATCTGCCCAAACTTGATTAACCTGCATAATGGCATCCTCATAATAAAAGCCTTCATCCATTAGAATTCCAACAATGGCCGCTTTCAGCTTTCTTTCATCCCCGTCATCACCTAGTAGTCCACTGAGAACTCTGTTTGACACCTGACAAACATCTAAAGCATGGTAAACCTTTTTAGCTAACTCTAAACCAGTAGCTTCCTCTAACCTAGAAAATAAGAAATATCATTAGTCATATTTTCATAATGAAATGGAGTTTTACATCCTACTTCTGTGTATCTGTTTGAGCTAACGAAGACAAAAAATGCCATGCAATGTACAATGAGGGAAATTTTTCCTGGACATCACCATTAACCTATTTTTTAGATCGCACAGCCTGTGGAACTTTGGTCCTCGGTTTATTGTCCAATACAGAGCTATCAACACAAACCAAACTTAGCATCTCTTACCTTTCTGACAATTTTTCCATCCATTTACTGTATCTACTGTGGGTACACATCAGAGTGCCATGAATATCAAATATAACAAGATCAACCATCTTGGAATATTGCTTGTTTTCATGCAGCTGTGTTGTCTCTAACGATTCTTCTAAACCATCATAGGGTTCCAGTAACACCCGATCATTGGCAGAATAAGCATAGTACTCCCTCCAATCTTTATGGGGTAATATCAAAGGCAAAATATCTTTGACATCTCGAATAATATGATCAGCTTCTGCCTTTAAGTCATCAGTCCCTCCAATTCCACTGAGAACACCAATACTTAATCCCAGCTTGGCTGATCTGCCCATTCCTACGTCTGCTTGAGTGTCACCAACCATTACAGCATGTTCTGGCTCAATCTCCAATTTACCGCAAATTTTCCAAGCGTTGTGTGGTTTAGGTTTAGGTTGAGTGTTAGTATCATCTCCACAAACAATCATATCTATGTACTGATCCAGACCTAAGGTCTTTAAGGTGGTCAAAGTGCCTTTTCTGGAATCTGAGGTACAAACTGCTATTTTGATGTCATTACGTCGAAGTATTTTAAACAGTGTCTGTAAGTCAGTGATAGCTTTCAACAAGGCTGGATCATCATCATCTCCTTCATTCCAGGAGGCCTTTATAATCTCCCAAGCTCTCTCAGTTGACAATCCCTCAGCACTCAGTAACTTGACCAGCTCAGTCTGAATGATGAAACTAGTGGCCTCAGCTAATAGTCCAGGATAAATTCTCTGTGTGGTTGTACAGTACCCTAGCAAATCAAATACCTTCTCTTCAATATCCAATTCACTTGCCTTAGCAATACTGAAATATACAAAATAGAATTACAAAACATTTATAGCATGTATTATTTAACCATGAAATGCAAAATACTACATTATGTGTAAAGGGACATAACTCCATGGAGACTAATCATAATGTCACCTGCACCCTTAAATAATTAAATTTCAACCTCACTGTATTATTAATTTCACACAGGAAATAGAAATTCTTATATAAATAAATTTTTTTAATCTCATTTGACTGTTATTTTTCATATTAATTGAAATATCATCTTCAAAATAGTAATGATGGTTTTAATTACTCTTTGTGGATACAAGTAAAAATGATTATTTCTAAATTTGTTCTTGAAAATAGTAATTTGAACAAAATTTGTAACAATTTCACGAATTTTCAAGGCAGAAGTGTGTTTAATATTTCAAATGTAATGTTTTATATAAAGCATCTAATTTATATGAAAGCAAAGTCAATATTAGCTGATATTTCCATTCACATGAATAAAAAAATCATTTATTTCATTAACCAATAAGCGAATTCCACTCTGCTATCTTTCCTTAGAGAGAACGATTTTTTTTCACTCACCTTTCAGCAACTGTTTTAGCCCATGGAGCCCACATAGTATGAAAACAAATAAGAGTTCCATCTTTATCAAAAATAACCAATTTACACTTCTTTCTTTCTTGGCCATGTGAAGTCGATTTGATAGTTTCACTGATAATGTCTTTAGGTCTTTCAGACTTCTCTGAGGTAACTTTACTACGAAATATGGTTTGTGAAGGTATAGATGTACCTAAAAATTATACAAAAAAGATTAATTGTTCAACCGCAATTATTATTGATAGTATATTTGATTTTACATAAAGATTCATTTTGAATAGTGTCCTTAATCAAATAATTAAACAAAGCAGTTTTAAATACAACTCACTAACACTATTCTACTTTTTTTGAGTTTGATTACTGAGTAGTGTTCTTTAATCAAATCATTAAACTGAGAAGTATTAAATACAACTCACTGTCAATTGTATATTATCATTATGTTTGATTAATGAGTAGTGTTCTTAATCAAATAATTAAACAGAGCAGTTTTAAATACAACTCACTATCACTATTCTACTTTTTTTGAGTTTGATTACTGAGTAGTGTTCTTTAATCAAATCATTAAACTGAGAAGTATGAAATACAACTCACTGTCAATTGTATATTATCATTATGTTTGATTAATGAGTAGTGTTCTTAATCAAATAATTAAACAGAGCAGTTTTAAATACAACTCACTATCACTATTCTACTTTTTTTGAGTTTGATTACTGAGTAGTGTTCTTTAATCAAATCATTAAACTGAGAAGTATGAAATACAACTCACTGTCAATTGTATATTATCATTATGTTTGATTAATGAGTAGTGTTCTAAATCAAATAATTAAATTGAGTAGTTTTAAATACAACTCACTATCACTATTCTACTATTATTGAGTTTGATTACTGAGTAATGTTCTTTAATCAAATCATTGAATTGAGTAGTTTTAAATATAACTCACTATTCTACTATTATTGAGTTTGATTACTGAGTAATGTTCTTTAATCAAATCATTGAATTGAGTAGTTTTAAATATAACTCACTATCAATTATATATTATCATTATGTTTCACTACTGAGTAGTGTTCTTAATCAAATAATTAAATTTAGTAGTTTTAAATACAACTCACTATCAATGTTCTACTATAATTTTC